AAATAAAGTACCTATACAGTCAAATTACAATAGTTGAATATTTATGAATATTATAGTAATTCAAACTAAAACTTATTGAAGAGTTAATAGTGATTTTCTCAATAATACTTTAATAATTATAAAAAATTTATAAATAAATAAATGTATTATGTTTACAATTATTAATTGACAAAAATATACATTTAGGTATAGTGCACTACTATCCTGTTTGTTAATGTTCTGAAATTAATTTTCTCATTAATTAGTGACTATTATAAGGATGAAAAATCTGAAATTTTTTTCTTTGATATTCATTTTTAATACATAACTCAGTTTTACAACTTTTACCACCCTATTTACTTACTCCAGTCCTATCATCTTATAAAAATATTATTACTATATTAGGCATATTATCATTTATTTGTGCTGGAATAAACTTATTTTTACATAGTTACTGGTCACTATAAGATTGTTGTGAAATATATAGGTATCTGAATATACTTGCCTTTTCCAGAAGATAACTGTTCAACGAGTTCCAATATCTTTGACCAATTTCCTTCTTCTCGACATCCGGCCAATTCGGACTCAATCCTGGTGCTTTTCACATTTTTACTGGACATTGCGTCGATATGTGTCTTTCAAACTAATCACCGTAGTGAGGTATAAACAATTTGAGAAAACCTCGCAAAATTTCCTATTTCACCACTCGAATACGTTTGTTCGTTAATATTTTTAATTTTGGACGCAATAAGAATAAGAAATCCTAAAACCAGTCGAATACGCCATATTGGTACCTAATGAATTGAAAAGTAATCGTAAATAATACTCAGATTAACAAACTAATAAATGTCACTACATGTCAGGTTATAGAAGAAGTGATAGTAATATTACTAATTTAAAATAAGTAAGTAACCAGCTCAAGGTCGTAAATCGTGATATGACGATATTTCAAACTAAAATTTTCAACTACTTCATACCCAAGCAAAAACGGTGAACACTGAGCTGAACCTAACCTAACCTAACTGAGTACTGGCGACTAGCGAATATAAAGTCAAATTACAATATATTAGTCGATTACGAAACGAATGATATTTTGTCACAGGCATACACATGAACAAACGTGCACACGCTCTATGACACTACACTGTGACTGCGGTGCCACCAATGATAAGAAACGATTGGGACCGGGCTTTTACAATTCGTCGAGAAGAGAGAGACAGAGTGGTAGTGTAGAAAAAAACATAAAAAATAACAACAAACAATAACATCATGTGATACGTACGGAAGTCGAGTCCCTCGACCGACGATCGAAAATCATCACCGCCATAAAGGCGTAAAGCCATTTGCCAGATGACAACGACGATAAACCGTTTATTGTGGCGTAGTGTGTGCGTTTGCAATATTATAATTACATAATTATACGTTTTTCTTAAATTAAAGTTTAACTTATTAATGTAATTTAAAATGTACAGATTACTGAATAGGTACAATAAATATTACTATAGCACATTTAAATTGCCTACGGCTATTATTTAACCCAGTAATAGATGTATTAAGTATCAACCCTGAAAACGACGGGCGCAACTGGTCTATTGATTTTAAATGTTTTGTCGTTTTGAGGATTTTAACGCATAACGCAATAATAATTGATACTTATATTATGCTATATGAAAAAGTAATTTTAAGCTCAATTGGTAAAATTTGAACTCCCATAATAATAATATAATATATTATAAAATATCTCATGAAAATGAAATATAGGTTGACATATTATGGTCTTCATTCAGAATATCTTACATAGTTACGTTTTAGATTAAATATAAATGGTTTTATATACAATGATATATACCTACCCATTAGTATCATTTAATTCAAATTTAATACATTGATTACAGTGACCTACTCAATGAAGTGCTCTCGACATTCAACTATTTATTTTTTTTAATATTTTTATATTTTTTATAAGTGTAAGTACCTATGTAATATTTGATTGAAAAAGTCTTAAGCATCATGAAGATTATCAATATTTAGATATTGTAAAAATACCAGGTGTATTGAAACAATTATATTAATAAATAAATAAAAAAAAAAATATTTAGATATAAGTAGGTAACGATATTTTTATATATCGGCTACGCGTGGTTTTAGGTATTATATAAATTATACATAGGTATATATATTTTTTAAATGAATTAAAAAAATGAATTTAACAATAATATCTATCATTATATAAAGAATTTCGATCAAACTTCTCTAGTCATTACCTAACATCTATAAGCATTACTAGTGGTGGTGATATGCAATTAAATTATAATATTTAGTGTTGTGTGATACTAAGAGTAATAACACAAATGTATTTATAGTCCTTTATTATTAACTCCAAATCCTGTCTGTGTATAAAAATTGTCTACGCACTAAAGGCCGATGTACAGTTTTCACCAATTATATTTTAATGTAATATACATAATTATTATTAATATAAATAAATTTTGTGGTATGATATACATAAAATAAATGCTGAATATGCATCATATATGTTAGGTATATATGCTTCTGTCGCCTCTGACAAAGCATTTGACGCAGCTACATAGCCAGCGTCTGCGATGCTTTAATATCACTTGGAATTGTTAAACCAAGAAGCGTCCTGGTACTGGTGTCCCAATAAGATAGTAGACCGTCCAAGAAAGACTCGCATCTTCAGGAAGTTATACCAGACAGTTCTCGGGTACAATGAAATGGTTTTCAAGTTGTCACTCGTTAATAACAATTATTCTGCGATTAAAAATGTACTAACAGTCAATATTAAGAAATTAAAGAAAGATAGATGAAAGTAATAATTGTGTATTCAAGTCAACACTGATGCTTGGTAAAGCCTTATCATTTATTGGAGATGAATAAATTCAAGGATAGCTTTTCCAGAATCATTTCTAAAAAAAAGTACTAAAAACTGGGACGATACAGCCACTCTGATTGTCTACAACAACTTTGATCCGATCATAGATGAACTGGTGTTTACGAAATACATCTCAGAATTCACTATTCAGAAAATTAGGAAGACCACGAAAGTCGCTTTCGACCGATAAAGCCGGCACTCTTCTAGCATCCCGAACAAAAACTTCTCATCTAGCTATCGTCAAATTTATTTACTTAACATTCCAGATCTGAACAAGCTGTCGGAGTGGCTGCTCAAAGTTCTCTCGATGCTAATGGTAGTAACCAAAGAGTCTCTAACCAGTTTTATTTTCACAAGAGTATCTACATATAATATTTAATTACGTAGCTTCGCCACGCCACAGATTTCACTACCAAAGTGGTAGTAGACCTCGATCATACCAAGAATCTGTACATGTCGGTTTACTCTAGACATCAAGAATGCCTATATCATACAGTGATAAATGCAGCACTCAAGAAGAGATGCTTTACTTTTGATTGAAGGAAATATTCATTGGGGGAGCATAGGTCATTGAGACAAGGAGGCCATATGTGGCATACCGCAGGATTATGTCTTTGGCTGACTCTTTGGAATGTAGTCTAGGATGAACTTCTCACGATGGATGTTACGACAAGTGTCCACCTTGTGAGTTTCACTAATTATTTTGCAGTCGTGATGAGCACACTATGTCTTTCAAACTAAACTGGTTGGGGCTCAGCAGATCTTGGCATCCATTTCAGTAATCCCTTATCTACGGCCAATATCCCGAATATTCTTTGTGGATTGGTCTTTGAAGATCTATCAGCCAACCAAACCAGGATGTTGTTAAGTGTGAAGCATAAAGATTTTATAATATGGTAGACAAAATTCTGACCTAAGGGGAAGGATTTAATCGTAGAAGAAGACCAGGTAGGATGCTGAAATATTAGTTTCGTATACACGGTAATCAAGAGCTTCAAACTTTGACAGGCTAATAAGAGTTTGAAACAGCGCCAATGATTATATATTTTATCATATCTATTGTTGTAAAAATTGATTGAGTGTAATATTTTTATCTACATTCTATCATTTAAACGAAGATTTGGTGATTAAGGCGGGGTTTGTACCGTTTATCTTCCTTTTAATGTATGTTATTTATACTTCAATAAATGATGCTGTATTAAAGACAGAATTTTGTGAAAACAGTAGGTACTATCTCTATTTAACGGTGCAAAAACAAAATGAATACATAAGAATCCATGGTGTCAATTTTCAGCATACTAAATTCAAAATATTGTATAAAATATTAATTTCTAAAAAATGTAAACTAAATATATTGTTAGACTTACGTTTTAAATCAAAATCAAACTACTACAACCACCGTATTATTGAAAAAAGACCAAATTAGTATTTCGGTAGGTACCTACCTCCAAAGTTCTAGTCCAGTGGTTTTCAACCATTTTAACAATGTTACACACTTTATTTCCTAAACAATTTTTGCGGTACTCCAATTCGTACGATTAATGATTTAACCTATCTTTATGTATATTATTCATCAGTTTTCACCGAATATCGATAATAATACATACTTATAAAATTATAAATAGATTTATCGCGGCACTCTTCAAGGGCGCTCGCGACACACCAGTTGAAAACCACTGTCTTACTCAGTAATCGTTAAAATTTAACATGAACTAATTATCTATTAGTCATTTAACTAACAATTTTACAACAAATTACAACTATAATGATTTTAAATCGTAAATCAGGAGAGCTCATGACCCGGCCAACGATAATTAATGCCAAATTGTCAGTTTTCACTTGTCAGTGGTAAATCGTCGAAATAACTGCCTATTTCAATTACGGGTCAGTAAAAAATAGTTTTTTATTAATAATGTAGTGCTCTAATATTTATTACAGTAACAACGATGGTGGTCTAGTGGATCCGTAGACCTTAAACTAGTAGACAGTAGTAGTATACTAGTATAAGTTCTGCGGGCGGATCATTCCGTAAAAAATATAAATATTATTATTTATTTTTACTATTATCATTACAATATTATCACAGATAACTCTGTGATTATATTTTTATTATCTATCTCATACCACATTCAGTATACCGCGGAAAATCAGACTCATCCATAAGACTGCGATCTCATATTCCCATATTACCACTCCGTGTAGTGTATACCCATAAGTTACAACCTATTATCCCGATTCCCGATGTGCAATGATAACAGAGTGCTCGTGTTTGTGCGTGCGCACTGTGACCGATACCGAGCGACGGACTACACAACTTCCTATACAAATACAATGCACCGTGTTGTTGATAACGATAGCATAGACCATTCGAGAGGACGGCGAAGACGTTCAATTCGAGAAATTCGTTTATTAAGGAAAGCGTCTTAAATCTCTTTTGATTGGGCAACCGTTCCGCTGTCGCGCGTCTTACTGCTCACACAGCCTCGTACGCTTGTGATCTACATTCTACACAGATCTAATTTCACCTTTTTCGAGCATACCTAATTGGAACGACTGCAAACTTACATAGTCCGCTGTCTGGCAATTGTTCGTCTGTTAGTCTACGGCCTCATCTCGTGCAGCCAGTCCCCAAAAGAAATGCGGGTTCATGTTTGGCCGTCGTGCGACGTAGATTTTGCCTGTCTTGTAAATCGTTAAAACGATGTTCGGCCCCAGAAACGATATGTTACCGCTGAACGGAGCACAGAGTGACAATGTCCAGTTACAAACAAACGTCGAGTAAGCATGTCAATAATACCTTTTATACATGCTGAAGCGATATTTTCTTAGGCCATACTGGGTTATTGTACTTTAAAGTAGAGTAGTGGTAGAAAATTGAAAATGGTCAATTTCTTAGGGTCCAGCTCGTAACTAGAGTACAGTGTATAAAATGTAAATTTTGATAAATCTACTACACCAATAACAGTAGGGGGTATACCAATTTGTTTTGGTTTACTTGTGGCAATAAATTTTAGTTTTTTTAAGTCAAAATAATTATTATTGTTGGCAAAAATTTAATGTTAGAATTATTTATTAGGTATATTATGATATGAACTGTATATTTTATTTTAAAATGGACCTACAAGTTTCTTATTAGTAGATTCTTTTTAAAATAAAAAGAGCTAATTGTGACTCATACCTAATCTAAAATATTTAAAGTATATCAAATCAAAAAGTATATACATTATTTAATTAATATATATTTCTTACTTCTTAGAAAACTAACATGGATATTTTACTTTTAGAATGAAAATAATAAACGATTATGTAGAAGTTATCAGCTCTTCTGATGCCGAACAAATTATTGAATGTAAGTGTAATGCATTTATTGTTATATTTATGTAGTCAGAAATAGTGTTAGTTATTGGTATAAGAAACCTCAAATCTGTTCTAATAAGTTGTTTTTGGCAAATAATTTTAAGGATAATATTATTAAAAAATAACCCGAAGTTCAGTTTTATACAGAAATTAAATTAATAAATTCATTTTTTATTTATTCAATTTTGGAAAGAGAGATCACTTGCTAAATTTGCTTAAAGTCAGGTTCATACTATGTTGTATACAATTAAATATATTCAACTTTTACGTAGATAATGTATTACCAAAATTTTGTTTTTTACATAATGAATATTTGGAACATGACATGATACGGTTTGGTTTAAACCCAATTTAAGCCTAAATCTTGAATCTACTTCACCAAATGGTATTAACTAGCCAAATTAACAAATACTATCATTGTTTAAAACTTTCATATCCAAAAAATAAAAAACAGATGTTGTTTTCAAATACTTATTTTTAAAATAGTTTTAAATATTTAATAATTTTTTTAATTTGATGATATAGGTGAAATTATAACTGAAGGAGAGTTTGAAAACAATACATTCACAAATTTAGAAAATAATTTACCAAATGATACATATAATGATAATCAAGACTCTATTTCAAGATGCAAAATGTCTACAGAAGATTTATCAACAACAAGTAATACAAAATTAATAAAATAATATTATTTCGAATTTAAAAAAAAAATGAATTTTGTATTTTGTTTAGGTATTAAAAATCAAATATTATCCGATAGCAAGTTGGAAAACAAAAAATCAACATACTTTGAAATAAATTTACCAAATAATCCATGCAATGATAATCAAGATTCTATTTCAATATGTGAAATATCTATAAAAGGTTTATCATCATCAAGTGATACAAATTATATATCCAAAGTAGAAAATGAAAATCCAAGTATAGATCATTTAATTAAATCTGAAATTGATGACATATACGAAAAAAATAAAAAACGTATAGAAGCAGAAATAAGATTGGATGATGCATTCAGAGAATGTTTAATTGAAATTAATAGTGACTTGTCTATTGATGATAAGGATATTTTTAATAATAAATTTAAACAATTAAATGAAAATGATTCATCAACAAAAACCAATCATAAAAGAAAAAAATTACTTTCAGACGAATTTGATACTGATGCTGATACTGATAGTGATACTAATAGTAATTGTAGCTGTGGCATTCATAAAGAACACTCCTATTTTGAAAAAACTAATAAAAAACGAATAGTTGATAAAATAATTAACCATTCAAATGCCATTTCAGAACAGTCTTCAAAATTTTGTCAAGAAATTGACATTGATATTGGTAATCATAATATTTTTTTTAATCAATCTTCTAAAATAGAAAATTTTAAAAAGACTTATAAGAGATTTTTACAAAAAAGTATTTGTCTTAATTTACCATCAAGAATTGATAAATGTATTGAATGTCGTGTTCACCAAATGAAAGATAATTTGACAAAACGTGATTATGATACCATTACTTGTAGGTTTTATGCATTCCGTCAATTAAGATATAAAAAATCTGGAAAATTAGTTGTGGCTGGATATCCAGATCCTTATAAACACCTTGATATCATTGATGTAGGATTGTGGTTACCTGGTAAGCATTCATCTGCTCCAAGTGATTTTATTATTAAAGCGTCTATAAAAATTTTAAAAGATACAGGAGGCCAGTTTTGCATGATAGTTCGGGATGAAATAGAAGCTTTAAAATTGAATTTGCCAAGTAATGGGAAAACACGTAAAATAGTATGGAAAAAATGTGTAAATGGAGTTAGAGAAATGTGTGATGTTTGTAAAACTACAATATTCAACCACCATTGGTCTTGTGGTAAATGTGGATTTGTAGTCTGTATTGATTGCTTTAAGGTTAAACTTAAAGGTACTCAAGTGACTGAAAAACAACATTTTATTCAAAGAAATATCAATAAAAAAATTTGGTTACTTTGTTCAAACCAGGAAGAGCACCGGGTTGAAAATCTTTCTATTACCCAAATACTGGCTGGCAATGCTTTAAAATATATTTCAAACCTCATGCACAATACATGTTATGATCGTAACATACCTTTAAGTTGTAGTTGCAATGAAAAATTAAAAAAAGTTTTTCCACCTAATTATCCTGATCCTGTTTTTGACAAGGTTCTTAATAATATCTACGGAAGAAGTAATTCTGACGATACAGATAATGAAGAAGAAAATTCAAAATTGCAAGCTATACTAAAAAAACAATATGTTAAGTTTTGCAATTTATTAAAAGTATTTGAAGAAGTTAAATCTGACAAACTTTGTACCAGTATTTCTAGAGAAAATATTGAAGATACAAATTATGCAGCTGAACATATCATAAAAAAAGAATGGCTTACACCCAAATTATCATTGCTGTCAGATGATAAAACTCTTGCACCTCATATGTGGTTGTGTGAAGGACATTTGTTACGTTTATTAGATCCAAAAAGTGATATTAACTATACAATTTTTCAGGTATTTAAAAATATTTCCATATTTTATTAGCACTATTTTAAACTTTTTAAGAATACTAATTACTATGTATGGTCTGGGTAATTAAACTATGCAATTCATTTATAAAAAAAAAATTCATAAGTATCTAGAAAAATAAAAGTAAATAGAACTGAATAGTGATAAATTTGTAAAGTATAGTTAAAAAATAAATAAATAATATTTAGACATACTTACATGTTCTACTTTACATGTGGTAGTTAGAGTATGCAAACTTAAAATAAAATAAATTATAATTGCTCATAAATTATAAGTTATAATTATAATTACAATATAATGTGTATTGGATTTTTCAGGACCAATGGAAACGTGGACAACCCGTATTAGTGAGTGATGTTGGCAATAAATTAAACTCTTCACTATGGCATCCAGAGTCATTTTCTCAAGATTTTGGCAATCAAATTAATGACCTGATTAACTGTACCACTGGTAATGTGATTTCAGACCAACCGATGAGCAAATTTTGGAATGGGTTTGAAAATGCTGAGGAAAGGTTGTGTGATAAACAGGGCAATGTAATGTTACTTAAACTTAAAGACTGGCCACCATCGGCAGATTTTGCAGAAACATTGCCAGATAGATTTCAAGATTTGATGAATTGCCTACCACTAAAAGAGTACACACACCGTAACGGTAAATACAATTTAGCTTCTCGCTTGCCAGAATGTTTCGTTCGACCAGATTTGGGGCCAAAAATGTATACAGCTTATGGTAATGCAGGTACAAAGCACAAACAAGTAGGCACCACAAATCTTCATTTGGATATATCAGATGCTGTTAATGTTATGGTTTATGTTGCGATTACTAAGAACTGCAAAGAATATGATTATGATTGGCATGTGAGGGAAGCTTTACAAGTAATTAAAGAAGCTGGTTGTGATGATTTGACATTGAGACGAATTTACGTGGATGGAGAAATTCCTGGTGCTCTGTGGCATATTTACCATGCATCAGATGCTGACTCGATTAGAGATTTATTAATCAAAGTTGCAGTTGAACACGGAACACCTCTAGAACAATTCAGTGATCCAATACACGATCAATCTCACTATCTGGATGAGTACCTTAGGGAGCGCTTGTATAAAGAATATGGAGTCAAAGGATATGCAATCGTTCAATATTATGGTGATGCAGTGTTTATTCCAGCAGGAGCCCCTCATCAGGTACAAAATACATTCATAAAATGGGTAGAACACAATTGCGCACGTTAGTCCTTTTTGTTAACACGATTGCATATGTTAGTAGATGGGTTAATTAATACATTTAAGTAAAAAAAATTAATACGATTATGTATGCAATTGTATGCAATGTTGTCAAATGTATTAATTTTACCATATACCTAATATTTAGTAAAATATGTACACTTCTATAAAGATTCATATAAAATAATAAAATATACCTAATGAATATAACTAAATAATAGTAAAATAATTAACGAATAAATAAAATTGTCAGTAAATAATTAATAATGCTTAATACTTTGTAGTTCTTACACAATCATGTAGTTAAAAATTAGGTTTGTATGCAATTGTATAGTTCAAAAAGGTATTACTGATAACAAACGTACGCAATTGTGTTTTACCCCCATTAAATGAATAATATTAAAAATAGTGTATGTATCAATGTTTTCACAATATTTTTATATTTTAATTTCTTTTTTTTAGGTCAGAAATTTACATAATTGTATTAAAGTAGCGGAAGATTTTGTATCGCCAGAAAACGTCCATCATTCGTTTCGAATGACACAAGAATTTCGGAATCTAACTGACAGTCATACTAATCATGAGGACAAGTTACAGATCAAAAATATTGTGTTTCACGCAGTCAAAGACTCAGTTTCAATATTGCAACATAACTCACATAAACTATAAGTAATATACAAAGGTATAGAGATTTTTGAATGTTAACAATATATACAATTTTGTATAAAATATTAACAAAATTAAAATAATTGTTACATCCACTAAATTTTTTTATAATTTTTTTTTTTACATTTTAATTGAAAATGGAAAATTACCATAAGTTGCCATCTCATTTTTAGTCATTTTTTCTTTTTAAGTTTTAATTATTATAATTAACATAATAATATATCAATTGTTTTAAATTTTTAAGGCTGTGTACATAAATGTTACTAATTGTTAAAACTTTAATAATGGTTAATGAAAAATAAATTGAACTATTATTTTATTATTATTTTTTAGAATATAATTTCTGTATGTGATGAGAAAATGTATATTTATTATTACATTTTTCTTGCTTCAGACTATACTTAAATAATTGAAGCAATATTTGACTATTAGTTTGTATATTTTAAAATGAACAGTGTTACTCTATTATATAAGTAATTATGATTTAAGGTAAATGTTTACAATTATAAAAGTGTTATTTTTTTAAGAAATAAGACAAGTTAAAAAAAAAAGTAAGAATTTTTGCTTTAATTTGTGTTTGTCAAAATAAGTACATTATCTTGTTCATTAAAAACCAAAATCTTCCTCTAATTCAACTATTAAAAATTAAATAAATAATAATTTAAATTTTTTAACATTGTATATAGATACAAGATTTAAAATTTATCTAGTCAAAAGTCTTGATTTTTATAGTATTTAATTTAAAGGTAGCTTTGTATTGCAATAAGATATTAGTTTACTTCAAGAACAATAGATATACCTAAAAATGATCTTCTACAACAAATAAATTTAGCAAACCAACTTTTTAATGGAAACAATAAACACAATAATAATAGATTTCTTTTAAGTTGTAATCTTATATAGAATATGTTGTAATGATTTAATTAAACTTGTTTTGTGATCTCTAAAAGAACATTACATGACATTTTTTGATATTGCTTCTAGCCAAGTATTTACAGAATATAAAAAATAATAAAAATATATCATAATTCTGATGTTATTTCTATTTTTTTTATTAAAAAAACTTTTATAACAATTTAAAATAACAAGAAATTACTGAGTGGGAAGGTACTCAGTACCACCTGACAGATCTAAAATTTAATTTGATGTAGCTTGCAATAGTAGCAAATTTAATGTACAAGCTCTGTGGAGACCTGTCTACTACTATTCCAATCACTATGACAGGACACAACATAAAAGGTCAATTTTCCAACCATGTCAGATTACAGGATTACAGCACAAGGGAGTGACGGGAACTAGTCGCAAACAACATATCGTTGGCAGCCAAGGTAGCTTTCATAGTTCCAATTTGTTGTTGAACGTGTAATTATTCTTCGTTTTGTGCCATCATACTGACTATTGCACATAATTTCTACAAACATATTGAAATGAATAAAATATCATAATGTTAATTCATTGGATTATTTTTCTTTATTTCTCACAAATTTAACTCTATACCACCAGTTAAAATTACCTTTATGTAATATATGTTCTTTATATAAGCAAATCTTATGAGTATTGTTTTTTCCTTTTCTCGTTTTTGCTTCAAATTTGAGATTCTTAATAATAGTAACATAAATCAATTGACTGCTAATGTATGACATTTAGTATTTGTAAGTTATACATTTATCAAGTAATATAGTTTTAATTACAACTAATTAGGTTTATTAACATACATTTTTTATTCTAAAATTAATGGTAAAAAAAAAAAAAATTATTTGCAAATTTAAGATGGTAAATGTAATAACATTTTTATTTTAACAATAAACCATATTTCAAATTTATTTTATTATACACATAAATATTTATTCTTTTAACTATATTATATATAAAAAAAAAAAAAGGAATGACTATGACATAATTAAAAAATAAATAACACAATTAACTTGGTAGTATGAAAATAAAAATTAAGAACACTGGTTTGAAAATTGTACTTTATGATCAGTAAAATTTATAAACATTTACAATTTACACATCTGCTGATCTAACTAATTCAATATTTTGGTTTTTTAACTTGAGGTTCCAATGATCCTATAGAACAATTAAATTAAAATTATATGCTTTTATAACATAAAAAAAAAACTCACTCATTTCTTTGAGATTATTAATATCTTCTACATTTTGACCAATAACTGTAGCGACCACTTTATTTATATCTAAAGCAGACTCCTGATTAGCTGGAAAGTTATTTGATTTTTTTAATGCCGGCAAAATCTTGTTGATATCAATATTCCTTAATAATTCAGGTTTTTTCATTTTCAGTTCATTTATTATTAATCTAGCAGCTGCTTCTACTGCAGTAGCATGTACAATATTTTCATCTGTGTATAACGGGCACCTAATAAAAAATTATGCATGTATACATATTATTTTTTTTATTATAAAATATATGATTCAAGAATATGAATATAATATTAAACAAAATAATTTAATAACTGTTAACATAACCTACTTATTTTCCATCACTGTTTGGTGGTAAAAATGAGTATAATTAGAGTCAACTGGCTGTCTACATATGTAACACATTTGTTTACCACAACTGCAAGTCATTTTGTTGCATCCGTCTTCTTTGACAAACTTACGTTTACAATAATAACAAATTCTATATTGAATAAGTAAAAAAAAATGTATATATATTAGTAATGCTAGTTATCAAAATGTTAGCTAAAAATTAAATTTGGTTACCTTATGAGAACTTCAGTCATTTTGTTTTCAATCATGGTTCTAACTTGTACTTCTGGAGCTTTTTCTATTTGATCACATCTGTATGGAAAATGACTTTCTTCTCTACATTCTCTAAAGAAATTAAATATATATTATATTTACACATGATGAACTAAAGTAATAATAGTAAGAAATTATAGAATACACAAATAATAGGAATCATTAAATTAAAAAAAATATTAATTGTGTCTAAAATTTCTTGCCTTAATTTAAATTATTATTTTAAATACACAATGGTATTTTCAACATATTTAAGCATATTTTAAGCAATTTATATCGAAAACTTATTCAAACCTTTCCATATTGATTTTGCCTTATAAGATAATAAGTAATAATATTAAATATTTATATTATAATATTACTAGTTGTACTCGCTTGGTGTCGCTAATGAAAAGAATTAAAAGTCAAATATCTTTAAATTTTTATTTTTGTTGTTAAACATATTAATAGATATTGAATGAAAAAATTTATGTCAATAGAAAAATTGTTGCTTATTGCTGATTTTTATTTTTTAATAAATTTAATGTATAGAGCAAAATAAAAAAGTTATGTCAGTATTTTTATAATACTTTATAACCTTTGTAATTGAAGTTGTCGACTTCTTCCAGATTGGGGGCAAAAATGTAGATTTAATTTGGATGTCACACAAGAAAGGGCAACATATAGTTGACTGTGTGAAATCATTAAAGGCTTAGGTTAATTCTAGTTATGTGGTTAAAAAAATAAATGTTAATAAATAATAAAAAAAGACACCTGATACTGTGGTTTTGAAATTGAGACTTTCTTTACTAAATTATATTCAAGTACTACTGCACTGGTTTTCAGTACACAACTGGTTATTAAATGGCTATTTAAATAGCGATATACCCTATATCTCTAAGGCACAAATCTGATTGTATACAAAAATATTATTAATAAAGTTATACGAATAACTTATACATATAAATCTGCCTCAGTTAATTGCCTACCCAAAAGTGAAAACTACATCAAAATTCATTCAGGCATTTCAAAATTTATAACAAACAAAAAAAAGTGACTTCATCTTAAAGTATGTATCGATAACAGTTATTATATAATAACCTTATGCTGTTTTTGGGAATATCAAATCAATAAGTTACATTACTAAGGTTTAGAATAGAATAACGAAAGATAAATCACAGGAAAAAACACTTAAAATAATAAAAAAAGCAAAATAAAACATTATACATATAAAAAGCAATTAAAATATGTGAAAAAATTATCTTAACATTTCTATCAAAAAGTTATTTCATGTTGAAAAAAGAATGAATAATCATTTATTTTGTTTGCAGAAAAACGATAGTTTTAAATATTTAAAATACTTGTACAAATCAAAAATGATCATTGGATATTTATCAATCACGATGCATTATCACATACATAATAATTTTAGTTACTATAGTTTTAAATTGTTATCACTTTTTTTAAATTCTAATTTATTTTTACAGTAAATATATGAAAATTATAGTAATAAATTGATAATTTAACACAACAAATCAAAAAAGCATAAATTGTATAGTGGACAGTTGAACATAACAGGTACCATAACTTTGTGTCTAGAGGCTGACAACTATCAAACTAATTTATGTCTAGATACTAAAAAGAAACTGCAATTATATCTTGACTATAGCAACATAATAGAACTTAGATCTCCATAAAATAAATCTTTTCCAGTAATTGCATATAAGTTAGTGTAGGGGTGAAGTGGTCAAGCGGACTAAGGCGGCGGTTGCGTCGCGCACAGTCGCCGGTTCGAATCTCGGTCACGGGCGGCGTCACTCTTCAGGCAGTCACGGTGTCTGGAGAGAGAGAAGCCCCCCCACCCGGGCATGGCAGAAACCTACGGGTGCCCACTAAAAATTCTGCCAAATAGGCGTCCGAACTATAGGCCTTCGGGCCTACTCCCGGACATATACGCCATACGAAAAAAAAAAAAAAAAATATAAGTTAGTTTATTTTGTATAAAAAGACACTGGTTCACTGTACAGCTGTATAGTCCACTCTTGAATAATTATAAATTATAATTTTTGTACCTGCAAGTTTCTTTTTTGCATTCAGGATTCAAACAGTTAATAATTTTGAGATCAGGAGATAAAATAACAGAATAATCACAAAATGCACATGTTTCAAGTCCTTCAATATCGGCTGCTTTAATTTCTTGTGCTTGCTTCAATCTCATTATACGTTGATATAGTTTGTCATCAACAATACTCTGAAAATATAAATATTATAAGTAAATTAACTAACAACTAAGTAATGAGAAATAACTACTTACTTTTATCATTGATAGATTAAATTCTTCACCACAATCAGCAAAGCATTTAATATCCACCTTACTTCCACCAACTGCAACTTCTGTACCTCTATAGCAATATAAGAAATAAGGAAAAAATAATTATATTTCATAAATTTTAATAAAATACATTAAATGGTTTTTTAATAAAAAATGTAAAAATTTACTTTTTTATACAAGATGAACAAAATTTATGTCCAGTTGGACAAGAAAACACTTCAGTAGTTAATAATTCATTATCAAAACAGCATCCACAAGTGTATAGATTGCCAATAGACTTCGCCTATCAATATAATAATTAATATTAATTAAAAATCATATCAAAGGTGTAATATTTTAAATATTTTACTTGTTCAACTTGAATTCTATGTACAGTTTTTACAGACTCAATATGATTCAGAATTTCATCTTTATGATCAAGGTATGCTATCTATAAAAATTATTTATTACTTTATATGAGTAAGAGTAGAATATTAATAAATTAAATGTTTTAATTACTTCTTTTAAAAATTCAATATTTTCTGTTGTTTTATGATTGATTTGATAATAATTACCATATGATTTTCTTTTATTTTTTAAATAAACAGGTTTAGGATCAGCTACTAAGGATTCAACAGCATTTGATAAATTGAAACTATATTTAAGCAATTCACCACGTAGCTTGGCCAATGAAACAAGATTAAACCTGATAAAAAAAGTAAAACTTATCAAAATTCCAAGATTAATATTAAATATGATCAATTACAAGAAAAATTTACCTGTCACTTAAATAAGACATTGATTCATTATAATGTTCAGTAATTGAATTCAATTTAACATTTTTGAAGTAATTAACTGGATCAGGGCACATTTTTAAAAACTCTTGAACTGTGAAATTCTCTTTCAAACTCCTCATTATCGCCAAATGATTAACGCGTTCATTGTACTCTTGAAGTCTAGGATAGCTTTTTTTTTTTGTAGTGATTTGCCCAATGAATTCGTATAGTTTATTATCATCATTTGCATAATATTCTCCAACTAGATCCAAGTAAATAGGGTCAGCATCTGGTATAATATCTTTTAAATTTTTAGTCAATTGTATAGCGTCAGGAGATTGGATTAATATGTCTTCAACTTGTAGTGTTATAAGAGCATCATCTAGGATATTAACTCTTAAATCAAGTTTGATAACCGCATATAAACGGCTTATATTGCTATAAATATTGATTACTCTCATAACATTTGACATATAACTTTTGTACAAAGTCTGCCACCCAAAATTTTCAAATTTTGCATAGGTAATACAATCTGCCAGGGAAGTAAATCTTTCGTATGGTGGTATAATTTCAGCCTAAAAAAACAAATAAAGTTATTGTGCATATTTTTGTTTATGAAACATCAAATTTGTATAAGTAGGTATAACAGAAGATAAATATATTTTTTAAATTTATTCCACACTATTTACAATTTAATGCTTCAACTAAGTATACTTTAATGTAAAAAAAAAAAAACGGTTTTTATTTTTGATAAATTATTAGATACAATACTACAAATAAAATTACTTTGATCTCATTTCAAATATTAATTCGAGCATAAATAATATCTATTGAATTGATACAGAATTAAACAAAAACTTTTTAAAATTGTTTAGTTTTTACTTTTAAAAGACCCGAATAAAATATGTATTATAATTTATAAATGTATTGTGTCAATAATATCTAAGATATCTCCAACCGAATATAATGATGCTAAAGCAACTTGGAGCACTAAAAATCAATCAGACATTGATAAAAAAGTTAAATAGTAGATAGTGCATAATTAGGTAAGGTACTAGTGTTTACAATCAATTGTAGCAATTGCTGCTAACTAAAAACTTAAAGAGCAAAAAATATTAAAACTGAAATAGCGCAACAGTATATTGTATTTATATATTAAAGATAAAACAGACGTGAGCCCAGGTTACAATAATGGTATAAAGTTAACAAAAAAAAAAAGATACTTATTGTAATTCAATAATTATGAAATAATGAAAATAGAGTAGCTGGGAAGTTTCTAAGTTTCAAGATTTTCAAATATATAACATTTAACTTACCACTTTTGCCATTTTTGGACAGATTGAACACAACTAAGATAATATCCAATCTTAAATGCGTGTTTGGTCAACAGTCACAACTTCAATATTGTAAGCACTGAAATATTATAATATTTGGAGGACGTGGTCACTGGTAAAATTCGATCAGGACATCGACAGGAATGATATGAAATAATGTTTGGCCATAGAAACCCAACAATCGTCAACAATGATTAACACAAATCATTGAAAAACTATCGTCGAAGATTGGCATTGTTATTATTGTTATTGAACATTAAAACATAACTACCATAGTTTCATTACATACGATAAAAACGTCACTATAAAAAAAAATATTTATAAACCTTAATTCTATATACATAATTATAAGTACATCAAATCAACACTCACCATCCAAGTCCCAAAATAAATACAACTTTTACGGAGGTAGATCGGGGTAAAATAATAATTATTAATAAACGTGATATTATATTACTTATATGAAATTATTATTAATAACATAACTCGTAAATACTAACTATACAAAGTATATTATTATCGTACATAAAAATATTCGGTTCATGTGCACATGTTTTTCCCTTATCAGCTGTATGATATTTTCAGTGCGCCGAATGCACAAACTGAACACGATTGTTTGGATGAACTGATAACCAAGTATGAAAAACCAGAGAAACCTTGTTATACAATATGTTACCATGTTTACCTATAATCTATATTATAATTTATATTATATCAGTGGCGTAGGCGCGTAGCACGAAATACGGTCGTTGTCTAGACCATCATATGATGAAGTGAAATATACTATAAAAAAATAAAAAAATAAATATTATAATTTATAAATAATATTATTAAGACATTATTAATATGAATTTACTTAGTCAATCGTTTCAAATACAGTAGTTATTTATTAAATTATAATATATTTACTAGAATAGTTGATAAAAAACCTATTGGTACGATTAATTGAAACTCAATATAATTTTTACCATTGTAGGTACTTGAACTACAAAATAGATTAAATAATATACAATATATTTTGTACTTAAAATTGAAAATTGTATGCAATACTTCATAGTATACATAAGTTATGTGTTATAACTTAAAACTAGTTATAAGATAATAAAAGTAATTTATCTGGGACAAGAAAAAATTTAGTGTTAATTATTATTGAGTCATTCGGTAATTTTTATTAGCGTTTGAAATCCAAAATTTATCAAAATTGGATTTCATAAGTAGAAATGATTTATGATATTTTATTGTATCATTTCCAAAAACATTAATCGATTTCATTGTTGGAATTTGAAAAATTCAACTGTAACTAAAATTAGATGCTTACTGGCTACTAATGCTACTATGGTTTATTATGTTTATATTGTTTATAAACAATCATATTCTTAAAATATTTACTCATTTTGAGCTATTTTTACAACGAACCCAAACACAGTGACACTGTTTTATAGTTGGTGGTAGACACGGAATTGTGGTTAATTATTATTATTATTAGATATTAAATATAATACTGAGTGATATTTTCGGCTAAAATAAGTTTTCTTTAGTCTGCGTCACGAAATTGGCGGCTGTCCGCCGCCGTTCCCTGAAACTTACCTCATCGTATAGAGTATAGAGATAGACCATAGACTGTAGATTGTAGACAATGGTTCTCATTCTAAAATTCTATGCGACCATCCATTTTTAGTTTGGAACGGAAATGTGTATCTATTCTATTGACACTATTGTTGTCAATGTTCACGTTTTAGTATTTCTTGAACATTTTACTTTTTTGAGATAGGAGGTATTATATCATAATATACGATTATAATTTATAATCGCCCATTAATGAATATTGTAATGAGATATATAAACGTACACATTTTAAAAAGCGCGGCAAATTGTATCATTGTTTGATAACCACTACAACAAATGTAATAGTCTGCTTGGTACGTAGTGGTCAACCGCCAATTTTTATGACACAGATTACTAGCCTATAACTATACTAAAGAAAGATTTTAATTAATTATAAAATATCTTTAGAAATAGAGGTCGAGCATAAGAATCCTTCTTACAGAATCATTTTTCGTATATTGTAATGATTTATCGTGAATAATTAGAATTCAAATTGTTTACAATCTATTAAAATTTATAATGATAAGGTATACTCAAAGCCTATATTACTATTATACAACAGTGCGACTTCCTTTAACTTTTATTTAAAAATAATTTGGTACTAATGGTACTTTAAGGATAAAGTAGTTTAGTATACCTTACCTATACGCAGCGGCATAATTGAATGAAAAAACTAGGAGTAAAAAATAATTTATTCATTAAAATCGAAACCATAATCTAATTTTTTGTTAATTTTTTATGACATAAAACAAGTCATAGATGTGTAGGTTGTACTTAGTTCATTAAATAATAATATTAAATACATAAGAGTTCATTAAAAAAATGTGTTTTTAAAACTTATTCAAAATAATGCGATAATAACATTGTAATCATAATTTATAAAATTATTGGGTTATTTTTGTAACCTAGATAATACGTCTAATGTATACATAGATGTAGGTAATATTTGTATTTTTTTTTTTTAGAAGATTTAAAGATTACAACACTGCTTACACATTAGGACATTAAATTAATAGAAAGCATTCTATTACATAAGTAATAATTAATAAAGTTAATTATTATCAAAAATACTGTAATAATTACGATTCAAGACCATTGTCAATTAGATAATAATATACTAATAACGGTTAAAAATTTGCAATTAATGCAAAATAGGCGTCTTACAATTTTTATTATATATATATTTTTTAATGTAATCCACAAACCTTTTCTGGAATTTTTGAATGTGATCTTGTAAAATATAATACATATATTAATATACAGTAAAGTCTTCTCCTCGTTTAGAACTTCGTCAGAATCTAAAAATTATAAAAAAAAATTATAAAAAATTATAAATTATATATTTTGACTTAATAATAAATAAATCGTTAAAAAAACTTAGTTAAAATAAATAAATAAATAAATCACAAAATGGACCAAATTCATTTTAGGTGTCATAATGCCATAATGTGTATATTTTAATATATTTTATATTATTTTGAAAAATGTATTTCAACAAGTTAAGAACGATGGGGCAAAAAATATTTACGTACCTAAATCATTAATTTTGAAGTTATAGTTAGTTACAAATTTAGTAAGTTATTACCTGTAGAGTTTGGAATTTAAGATTTTGCCTCTTTTTTTGGATTGACTTAAAATCTAACAGAAACGCAAAATGCAATGAACATTTATGTTATGTTATTACGATTTAAAATATGAAATAGGAAAATGCTTTTTATTGCTCGTTTTGATATAATATTTATAGTTTATGGTAAACAGTATGCACCTACACTAATATCTATATATAATTTTTGTTATTTTGATATCAATTAAAAAATATTATTCATAGAAAATTAAAACAAACTATTTTTTATTATTTAAATTATCATTTTAAATATATTTATAATAATTTTGTTTTAAGCATTTGAAATGTTTGAAAACTTTTTTCTATAAATAACGATAATAATATTTTTAGTAGACTACAAAGTTTTAAAATTAAACAACATATGTCTCTTATAATTTTATTCATGTATACATTTCCAAATATCGATAATACATAGGACTTATTACTTATACTTAAGCGATTTTCTTTTAAAAATGTTTTTCGATTTTGAAAAATACCATTATAATCAAGAAAATATGTAAAATAATTTTGAAGTCGAAAATTCTTTAATTTTTTTATTTAAAAACTTAATACAAGATTCTTCATAAGTTGGCCTTACAGCATTTTAAAAATATCAAAAACTATAAGCACTTTTTTATATACATTAAAAATGTATTCCGACAAAATTGAATATTAAACAGAAAAAAAAAAAACAATTTAAGAAATTTCATTCTAATAAAAAAAAAAAAAACATTAATTGTAGGGACTTAAATTTTTTTATCATTATGTAGTACCTATACACATTAGTGTACATTTTATGTATTATGTAAAGTATGATAACGTCTAAAAGTCGTCATTTTATTACCAAACGAAAACAAAAAATAAATCTTGTCACAAGACATCAATGCACGAGTACCTAAATCACGTTATATTAATTACAATTTATATGCTTTTATAGCTTTTAAATTTTTATTCTTAATATTGTGTTGTAAGTATTTTGCTATTACTAATATTCTTTAATGTATACAATAAAAAAAATCTGCAGAATAAATATGCAAATAATAGTCCTTGTTTTAACAATTATATGTTGTGTAAGTGTAATTATACGAGTTAAATTATTTATCCAAGCTATCCGTTACTCTAGGCCAAATTAGAAGGTTTTTCAAATACTGTAAATATTTAGGGCTTTCGCGCTTTTCCTAATATTGATGTTTATCACTATCTCTTAAAAAAGTTTTAACTAGGTATTTGGGAAGTGAAAAACAAATTACGAACTTATATGTTCCGATTATTTCAGAAATCAATATATTAGCATCCTCGCAAGCTTTGAACAAAATCTAAAATAACTTTTGTTTATATTTGTAAATAAATAAATAATATATTATTAAAAAAAAAAAATTATGTTACTTACATAAAAATTAAAAATATTAATTAAGATTTGAAATTAATTTTATCTCAATTACTTGTAAGTACTTTATAGTCAAGTGTATATTCACAATAATAATTAACACGTGTTTGTTTTGGCTTGATAATTAATATAAGTCATTTGTTGTAAACGTCGCCATTGAATGTATTCGGCAGTTGGTGTATAATATATCGTTGTATAATTGGATATTGATGTAATAGTTTGCAGTTTGTACCATTGGCCTACTTTTATATTCTCGTGTAACATGGTCCAGTCTTCAGGCATCACGTCGAAGTTTCACTAGTGAGTCGCTCTTGCTTAATGCGTTAACAAGTGAAATAATAATAATATAATTACGACTGGTCGAAACAAAATTGATTTTATGTATATGACAATTGATAGTAATTTACGAATAAAACTAAAGTAAGGTAGTGTTAGTGTTTGAAATAATCATATTTTTTATACTTCGATTTAAGCCTAACCTGTGAATTTAAAATAAAATAAAAAATGACTGAAAGTAATCTTCTGTGCGTTTGCATGCTACGGTTATCTGTTTTAGTTGGTCTTTTATCAGTTGTGGTCACTATCATCTATTATACGCCTATTCCCGATTTTGGTAATTATAATTATTATGTATTTATATACATTTTAAATATTTATATCTTTAATAGTTAATGGTGTTGTTCATTTCGTATATTTTATACTAAATAACTATATAATAGTTTATAATAAAATGTATGCAAGCATTTAAGTATAAAAATAAATGGCTTAAATTGATATTAGGTGTTATAATAAGTAATTTTAAATTATTGAGATTTCTACGTGTTTAATACATAGATAATTGGTATAAATGTAAATATAGTATGTATTATGTACAATATGTAGTAATAGATATTAAAATAAACATACTTAATTAACTTAAATATTTTATATTCTATGTTTCGGTGTTGCATTATGCAATAATATTATGATATACATTTATAATATACTTCAAAGTTGAAAGCATAATATAAATTATATTGAAGTGAGATAATTGAGTGGATCTAATAAAAGTTTGGTTACCTATATAGCTACATTTTTTATATGTTATATATTATATACTTATATACATAATTTTCCTTGAATATATACTTTAAACTAAGTACTTAGTTAATTTAGTCAAGGTAAAATATACTGCGACTTAAACGCCTGGTCATTCACGTTTGACGTTCCTTATTTATTTCAATACTTTGTCAACAGGAACATAATACACATTGATGGTCATCCCATCGATGTTATTTATTAATTTATTATAAATGACTATGATTATCATTCAATAACTATTATTTATTTTGTATTTTTATTATTTTATAATAAAGAACAAGGTTTTGAGTTTAAATATCTATTATATCCTTATATATAGATGGGTATCGAGATTTGAGAAAGCCATAGTGACAAAAGATATTAGATATTTATTACAAACTATATTAATTCAAACGTTTTAAAGTCTGGTGAAAATATCATTAGAGTCATATTAACAAACTAGTGAAAGCTATGATTGCAATTTGAATCGCTCATCAAAAATACAATACTTAATAACTATACGCCACAATCTATAAAGCCACCATCTATAGTACCTATATTCTTTAGTAAATAATACTATTAATACTATGATATTAAACTGTTGATTTGTAATAAAACATTTCATAACGTGGTATGAGTTCAATGGAAATTAAATCAGATATCACAAGGACATAGAGAATGTACATTAATTAAAATCTGTGCAAAATTCGTATGAGAAAGAGAGAGATCAGTGATGTACTTAGCAAGAGACCACCAGACCTAGGGGCTTCTTAGGAATGTACAAGTTGGTAGGACAAAAGACCTTTATTATTGTATTAAAAAATATTGAAAATTTTTTAAAATTTAAATTATATCTATGTGAAAAATAATTTGATTTAGTATATGAAAAAAAATTCTTTAGTATCACTCTTTCTAGCATAACTGTTTATTAATTTAATAATTTCTGTGTTTATGGGGGACCTAGCTACCTCATATAGGTACTAAGGCCATCAATTATTATGCTAACCACTTAGAGAGATGTACTTATTTTAAACTCAATCATAGATTGTTAAGGATTTTTAACATTATTAATTTTCTTAGTAGGTACCGATTGCAATATTTGTTAATATTTGTATTTTTATATAAATAAAAATTTTATGAAGAATAAAATAATTATTTGATTGCATTAACCAATCAAAATAGCGTGTATTCGTTAGTAATGAAAAAAAGTATATTAGGTTTTATAAAAAAAAATATAGGTTTATATGAATGAGCTAGGATATTAAAAATAAATAATATTAGAAGAATTTAAAAATATTTTTATACCAAAATTAATTTGTTCCATTAAAAAAATCGTCCTTTATTTTAGCTTAAAGTTTACATAAATTAAAATCCATGGAATAAGTTAAATTTTTATGTACGTTTTCTTGTTTTAGTTACAGTTTTTTTTTATCATTAATGAATGTGTTAATCTACTAAGTAGAATGTAGATATGCCATAAAATCTTTTTTAATATAATAGTTATTTAATTATATATTTATACTCAAACCAATATCGAAGAGAAACTTAAGTATATTTTTTGTGTATTTATGCAGATGATGTATATATTTTTGAAAGACAAAAGCATAATATATAGGTGTCATACATATTACACATAGTGTTTGAATTGGGAAAAAAATAGAAATTTCAATTATTGGTTTAAAAACGGCGTTCTAAATTCTAATAGGTGAAAAATTATTTAACATTAACACATATAAGAGATCTGTTTCGACTCCATACATCCTTCCAGCAATCAATCCCCAAACGAATAATTCAGTAATATCTACCCCAATATTTATAAGCGCTAAATATTTTTAGCAAAAAATTGAAATAAATATTTTTTCACAGTGATTAATTAAAGTTATATCCATATATATATATATTTTTTTTTGTTATTTTTTAACATTGTATTTCATTGAATGCAGTTATAAATTATAATCATATTCGTAACTATGGCTTACTTTTTTAGTTTATTTTTTTTTAGGACAAAATTATTTGTTGGTGGGTATTTTTTCACTGTACGTGTAGGTACAAGATGAAACCTAAGAATTTGGTTTAAATAATTTTACTGGAGGTTCTTATGCATTTGTAAGCAATTCATTTTTTTAGTTATTTAATTGTTCATAAAATTAAAAGCACGTTCACACTTAATGAAATTAGTATACACCTATTTAATTTATGCTAAATGGAATATTTTTTATAAAGAAAAATTCGTTCTTTTTTTATAAAAATTAATTAGTTCAACGGGTTTTGGTTAAAACGGAATTCGTTCCCTTCGGAACTCGTTCCTTCCAAATATTGAATTAATACATTATAATATAATTATATTAATCAAACAATTTTGAAGTTCTAAAACGAAAATAGCCAAGTGTAAAATCAAGTTTGATTGAAATATTTAAATCAGTACCATAAGATATTATTTACTATTATAAATTAATTTTGTTTTATCAAAAAAAAACTCAAAATTAAGGAGAATAATATTTTATAGCGAATTATATACATTGATATGGTTCTAAAGGCTATTTTTGACAACTTATTGATATATGAAAAAGAATATATCTTGATGATTAATGAATATTTTAATGAAATCTAGTATAATAACTTATATTTTAACAATACAAAATAATTTTACGTTGAATCGATAAATCATGTATTTTAATTTGGATTATTGATTGTACTTAAGTATTAATACATAGGTACATAATTATATGCATTATATATGTAATCTATTGTATTAGCTATTGAACGTTTACTTTTACAATTAATTTCTTCTTTTTCAATCGCACACATTAATAAGATTTGGAAAAATAGGTACACATATTTTAACCATTTTGTGTATACATACTGTTAAGTTATTAAATAACTATATGTACTACATATGTGCCTATTAAATTAATAAATAAAAAAATAATAATATAATAATTATTGTTAAAATTTATTTTTAAAATTTTATCTATTGAATAAAAATATTACATGTTGTATACAATTTTGTTTTTAATTAATACAATTAGTAATATTACGATTTTTATTTTAAACTGACCAACAAAAGAGTACAAATATTATTGGTGTAGTACAATAATATTGTTTTATTGAAATACGAATACCTAAATAAGCATTAGAAACGGTTTTTTCACCATACATTTTAAAGATCGAGATTTAGGGTGTGAGCGTATATTATGTTCTATTTTACAACTTATTATGACTACGGTGCTTCTTTATACTAGAGGGCTGAAGTAGATGTCTAATTATGCCACATGTAACAACAGGGTAAGTCAAGTAAGGCATTCAAGGTTAAAATAAAAATATAAATTAAAAAAAAAAAACCACACATGTTTGACCGTGATGTGATTTGAGCATTTATTCAATATCTTAATAGATATTAGATACCTACGATAAATTATAAAATGAAAATAGATTATTTTTATAATAGCTGATTTACAAATCAATTACCTAATTGCAATTTTTTTTATGAAAATTATCGTGTTTGTTATGTTGTAACACTAAAGAACTCTGGCGTATCCAGGGGGGAGGGTTACAGGCGGCCATTAGCCGTATTTGCTATTATTTTTTTTTAAAGATTTATATTATTTATTCTTATATATGAATTTATACTAAAATATGACTTATACAGTAATACCATAGAATACTTATTATTATATACATAATATGTACTAACTTAATGACTGACTAAAAATTAAAAAAGTTATTTGCATTAAAAACATTAAATAAATGGTCGATTTTTTCTTTTTGGTAAAATGTTAGACAGCATCTGTCTCTCTCTAAAATAATTCTGGATACGCCACTCTTAAAGAATATATATGTTATTATATTATATTAAATTTGTTTTCTCTTAAGGGATAAGTATAGTATGTATTTTCAGTCTACGTATGTGTAATGTGTATAAGAACTAATTTTCTTATGTAATTTTATAATAATATACTCGTAGTACACATTTATGTATAAATTGTGTTTGTATTGTATCTAAAATAATCATATAATACAACGTACTATAGGTGCATTAGTTTTTTATTTGCGGTATTGTGATTTGAAAATAGTAAAATAATTAGTGGGAGAAAGTTAAGACTTAACAATGCATCAAATTTGTAGTACAAATGTTAGATAGGTATTCATACATTCATATAGTATTCATCTAAAGGGAAATTGTGGCAATAGTCGTTTTCCGAGGATAGCGCATTATACATGTGTACGAGCTAGAGTGTAGTGAAGTATGGCTTCGGTAAGACAGTTAAAAAGTTTTAAAAGTAGAATTTCTTTAGTGTTAGGCGTAGTTGCGATTACTGGGTTAGTTTTATGGAATACGGAGTTACCAAGTAAGTACTTACAACCACTATAGTAAAATAGTGATAAAAAGTAGTTACTGTTTTGTTAAAAATTTAATGAAAACAATTAACGAATTATGCAATACACGCATAATATGATATGATGTTAATTATTGGGCATAACTGCATAAGTATTAGGTAGTTTTAAGATTTTAGTATAATTATAAAGTTATAAAGACAGTTAAATAAAAATCATAACAATATTTATAATACTTTTTTAGAAACTACAAAACAAAATTGTGATAGAGAATGTCATGAATTGGATTGGCCGCTAATTTGCAGATATAAAATTGTGCTGGAGGCTCAAAATATTCAAAAGTAAAAAATTATTTAGTATAATATTTTTATATAATTTATTGCTTTACTATTTATTTTTAAAATGTAAATACTTTGTGTCAATTTGTTATTACTTATTAGTGATTAGAGTGAATTAATCTATTATAAAATTGAAAAGTATGAATATTATTATTGTTTACACATTCGTTTTTACGTTAATATAATTTTAAGAGTTGGTTATTAAAATTGGTTCTGCTAAATGTAAATTTGCTATGTTGAAAGTATAACCTAAGATGTATACGACACACGGGTGTTGCGTCATTTTGAATATCAAATTTAAAATCCATGTAAAGTCAAAATATTTTTATTTAATTCATAGTTATATAATTATTATATTTAATATAGTGCTTTCTATGTGTGTAGAAAGTGTATATATTATTGTACGTGTCTTAAAATTAGTATTACTTATTTAAGGAGTAAGTTATGTTAAATTAATTGATAAAATAATCATGTTTTAGCGATTGTCAAAAGTGTTCCTTCAATAATCAAACGGAATGCCTACATGACATTTATTGCAATGGATTTTCAGAGAAAATTATTACTGCTAATAGACAAGTTCCTGGTCCATCTATAAGAGTATGTTTAATAATTTAATTACCCTATCTAATTTGTTGAATAATTAAATAATTTTAAAATACTTAATATCTATAAGTTATATTTGTCGGGAACTAAATAAAACACAATAATATATAATAATATATATTATATACAATATTAATATTTCACGTATATAGAAATACACGGTATGATAAGTATGACGTGTTTTTTAATATTTATACATTTGTAAAATACATTATATACATCTCTTTTATTCGGAAGTTTAACGAAGTATCATACCAATAGCAATATTTTTTATCTGTTAAGTTTTATAATTATTAAATACTAATTACACAATGTATAAGTGGTGTCCATTTTATGTTTTATAATATTATTTTTTGGGCATTAAAAATATTTGTATTTTTTCATAAATTAACTAAATCATATTATTTCAGAATATAAAAATTTTACTAATATTTTATTATTGCGATTTTTTTTTTTTTTTGTTAAAAGTTTTACTGATACATTTTGTCATTTAAACTAACATAACAGTTATAAATACATTTTATCATCAATTAAAAACAGTAACATATGCATTGGAATATTCATAATAATAATAATGATAAATTAAATTTTTAATTATAGTATAATATTTAATCATGTATGCCAAATCCATCAACATTAATACAATCTAAATTTCTTCGTAAAATAACCTTAAGCCTATAATATGTCTTAAACGATACTTTTCATAAGAATCTCTTACTCTAGTCCCCAATAGCAGAAAATGTTGCCAAAGTATTTTACAAACGTTTATACTCCAGTCTTCCACAACCCCATGATTTTAGAAGTCTCTGTTTTCACTATTCTTAGTGACCTCAGAAGGTGCTTAAAACAACCTGGCGTGTCCTCCTCCACTCCATGTCACAAAATTCCATTACTGGATGATTTTTCTCTCAAGTCTTTAGTATCTAAAATTTAGTTAATTAATTAAATTAATTTAATCTTATTTTATTAGCCTTTAAACATCATTAATGTTTAATCTATAAAATATTTATAGATAGTATAAATTCTAAATTAAAAATTCTAGTGTGACATAATAATAATATTGATAAGTAATACCTTATTAATAAAAGTTTTAATTATACTAAAGTATTACAACTATAATAAATATAAGAAAAATAAAATTACTAAATTATAGTTTTTGAGGTACATGAGTAGCTTGTAAATGGTTAACTAAGTATTAAAAATTAATAGAGTTGGTGTAGGTAAAATATTAAAAATATGAGGAATACTACAAATAACAAACGTACATTAGAATTTGAATGTACTAATAAAAAGTTTTACTACAATTTTCAAAATAATATTCATAGATTTTAGTTAGGTAGATTTAGAGTCTATTGTAGATAGATTAATAAGTTTTTTTTTTTTAAACGTGCAATTGATAAATTCTAAAACGCAGTATTTATAAATATTTCTTAATAAAAAATATATATCATTATTTTATTCATTAACTTTAGAGTTTTAGCCTTAAATAATAAAAAATATTATTTAATTACAGGTTTGTGAAAACGATATAATGGTAATAGACGTTGTTAACCGAATACCAGGACATAGTGTATCGGTACACTGGAGAGGACAGTGGCAAAAAGAGACTCCGGTAATGGATGGTGCTCCTATGGTAACACAATGTCCGATACTACCACATACTACATTTCAATATAAATTTAGAGCTGCTCAAGCAGGAACTCATTGGTGGCAAATATTATCGGGTAACATAATAATAAAATTCATATGAACTAAATTAAATTTTGTTGTCACGAAAAATCATAAAAATTTTAATGTTAATATCATCTACCTTATCAATTAAATTCAACAAAACAAAAAAACAAAATTCTTGTTCCTATGTTTGTTTTTAATAATAGATTTTTATATATTTATACTTGTACACTTTTCTATGCTCACATACTATATAATACTGTGTATACTTGGAAAGAAAGTCGCTGGAAGCATGTACATTTATTTATTTATATTGTGTGCTATAATTTCCATGTCTAATCTTTATAATTTATAATCATTATAATATTATCCATATGATCATATATTTATAAACAGGCGACGAGTTGTCCGATAGAGTGTTTGGAGCATTTATAGTGAAGCAGTCCAAACGAAAAGAACCACATGCCTCCATTTATGACTTTGATGAAATTCCACAAGTTTTACTTGTAGAATATACAGCAATCACACAAAATAATATCTATGAAATGCGTATAAATGGAATCGCATCGAATACGGTAAATTAAATAATTGAAGATATCTGATTAAATGTATTTTAAATAACTAACAATATAAACCATCTATTAATTTACCGTATGATTAGTATCTATAGAGATTTAAATTAATAGACGAATTTGTTGTTTAATTAGAAATTCGTATGACTATAGTGGTAATGTTATAGTTAATTTTTACTGCTTATACGTAAGAAAAAACTAACACACACCTATTAATACTGGTTATTGCCTAATATTCGAAGGTTTAAAAGATATTTACCAAATACTCATAATATTAATACCAAACAGTTCTGGTGAATGGCAAATTTATATCCTAAGAGCATATTATATATGCATACATGCACTCACCACTAATTTTTTTTTATAAATTATGTATATGCGTAAAATATGCTCTCACATTCGGCGGCTACTGATCAAAATAAAACACAATTTATCAAGACGCCATGAATAATTAAATACAACTATTACCTAAATTGCAAAATTGATAAATTAAAAATATATTGATTTTTTTTGTTGATATTAGTCAATCGTCGTACAAAACAATAGCAAATACAGATTCAGAATAATAAATACAGGAGGAGTTTCGCAATGTCCAATAGAGATAAAACTACATAAACATCATTTAACAGTTGTATCAGTAGATGGTCATGCGATTGAACCTAAACTAGTTAACGTTATTCAAGTTGAACCAGGTTAAATGTTAAACAAACAAGTTTATAAAATGGTTAAATGTATTTAACTCAAAATATTCTTATGTTTGTCAATTAAAGGTGAAACTTTAGACTTCATTTTAACAACAAGCAAAAACCAAGACAATTTTGATATGGCGGTTAGTTCAGAGGGTCACTGTAAGAATTTTAATCAAACACACACATTGTATATACAATACAACTCGACATTGCATAATATTATTCCAGATACGAAAAATCTTGTAGAACCGGTGAGTATGTGTTGAGTTAATAGAAAAAAATATAATAAATAAAATATTTTAAAGTTATTAAAATAATTATTATACGTCATAAACAATAAATTATGTAAATAATTTATGCTTTAATGTACTTTATAAATCGTATTTTTAGAAAAAATATATAATATTACATTGATATAATATATTTATGTTTTTAATCAAAATATATTTTTTTAATCTTTAAGTATTATGGAAATATTTTTATATATCTCACGCATAATGTAATTATTACTTATTAGTCTCTAAAAATAATATTTAATTTTTCTTTTTGAATTTGATAGATTATGAAACTTTTTTTTAATATACAACGTTTCAGACACTATAGGTTAATGATCAACCGTTGTGATTCAAACTACGATTTTATTATACATCTGGTAAATAAATAAGCTATCGTTAAAATAGGCTCCATAAACACGAATTTTTCTTTATTCTATATTATTATAATGTTGGAGTTTACCCAAGTCACATTTACAGACTATTAGTCCATTCAATTTTGCTAGCGAGCATGAATAATATTATCTCCAGCTGATTGTGCACTTTCATGTTGGTGGTAATAATTAATTTCTATAGATGATAATAACAATATAATTGAACCGCACAATTTACAATTTAATAAACATTAAATAATTAATGAATGTTACCTAAATCAAAAAGTATAATATTTGATTTATTACAAAGTATACTCGTATTAGATTAATCGATTAATCGATTCATTGTATTATTTTTTTTTGTAATTATCGCTCTAAATTATAATAGAATATGTGTCGAATCCACGAATAGTGAAATAGTAAAGACATAGCTATAGAGTAAACTAATCTATAGGTTATAACTTACAATCTATTTAGTACTCATGAAGTTTATTATTTTGACCAAAAATATGTATGATATATCATCACCAATCTTATTATCTTATAACATAATAACTTATATCATTTTAATATTTTTTATTTATAAAAAGACTGAATACGGGGATCGACATTTGTCTATTACAAGTCTAACAAGTTTACCTTATGAGTTGTCTGCAGTTAAATTGAAAAATACAATTTATTTGGGATTTTCTTCGATTAAATATCAACTTGGTGGTAAGTGAACAAATGAAAATACAATCTCAAACAGTCGATTTGACTATAAACAGATAACTTACGAACTTTTGCAGAAGGAATCTGGTCATTGCCGAATTTTAACAATATATCGATGGTGCTACCTTCTGCCCCACTGCTATTGCAACAGCCCGAAGATGTGATATTATGTAATGCAGAAAATTTGCCACTCAAATGTCAGTCCAGTATTACATCTTGCGAGTGTACGCATGTCATTGACTTACCATTGGGTTCTGCTACAGAATTAGTTATTTTCGATACAGGTATATAACACACGCACGCACATATAGTATTATGATTAAATCAGTCCTAAAATATTATAATATAAATAATATTCTTATTGTATCTCAATTCAAATCATTAATAAGCAAAAGTCTATGATGTGACTGTTTCGAGAACTAAACTATATGTTATAAATACGTAAATAAGTTATCGAGAAAGTTTTGTGGTCTTCACAAACCGACTACTACAGGACTTATTTTAATTAGCTACAGTGTTTGTTATGTTGTAAGAGTAACGATGAAACTTATACGTATAAAATATAATATGAAATTTGATTTCTTAAATATACAAGTGTAACATGCATTTATAGTCAGCGCGTATAAAATATAAAATATAATGTATAATATAGCATCCGTCATTTGTGTTATTGGTCGATATTTTACGACTATAATACACATTTGTGCATAGATTTATTTTGCATTATTTATAGAATAACTAAGTAATATATTATGCAACAGTTGTTTGTTTGGTGTTTTAATTTGAAAATATTAAAAAAATCAGTAGGAAAATGTTGATTTTTAATAAAAAAAAAATGAAATAAATACATCTGTTTCAACTGTATTTCTCATGAATCATATTATTATATTATACATATTTATATGAATATTTAAAACTTTTAAAATGTAAAATATATATTTTATATTGTTGTCTGATTATCCCAGAGTTAAACTGCTAAACTTAAAACTATAACAATAATTTATTAAAATGAGAATATTTTTCTTAGAGCATACGCTGTTTAAAACGGATAGGTCTCATTCGTTTTATTTGCATGGACATAGTTTCTACGTAGTCGGCCAGAAAAGCAAAGCATTCATCAAGTCAGCGGATCATGCAAAGAAGTTGGACAGTGATGCACATTTAGTTCACAGGAAACTTGACAGGTCGGTGTTGAAGAACACCGTTGTCGTGCCAGCAGCAGGTGTATCTGTTGTACGATTTATCGCTGACAATCCGGGTAATGATCTATCATTAACCTAACTCTAACCTTAATAGTAAGATTCCAATCTTATGTAAAAGGAAACCACGTCTTAAGTAAAAACATTAATAATTATTAATATAAGAAGGGTCTTTATAAACATATATTTTGTAAATTGATATATATAAAAGAACGAAACCTTGTATTTATATAAATGCTTTTGTTTTAAAATGTCATTCCATTGAATTGCTCAAGACGACAATTTTAATAGCACATTTCACATTTATTAAAAAATTATTTTTTTTTTTTTTGGTAAATTAAAAATACAATGAGTTTTTTTCATTTTTAAGTTATTATGTTTTAAGCTGTAAATATTTCTTTATCGTGAACATTGAGGGGTATGTATATTTTTAACATTTTATGATTATAAATAGTTATAAAATGAAAGGTGATTTATAAATGTGTTTTAAAAATATTAAAATATTTAAAATTAAATAAATAGTTACAGCGTTAGATTTAATATTCTTGTAAATTTATTATTTACAGAATTACAAATCTATTATTAAAATTAGGCTGTAATAAATAAATATATCTGATTTTTTAGATTTTGAATGAATTATTGGTTTTTTAATTTTATTATTTATTACAAAAAATTTTCACTGGTACCTAGTAAAGAGTATTAATTTAGTTTCTTGTAGTACTGTTTTAATTTATTGACCAGAAATTAAACCCAAATGGTATATTTAAAATGGAAATTCGTCAATTTTTTTTCAACTTTTAGCTTACTGTTACCAATTTTAGGAAAAACTTAAGTATTTGTAAAACTGCTGTCGAAGATGATAAAGAAGTACTAGAAAAAAAAAAGTTTCAATTAAGTCTCATTCAGTATAGTTTTGTGGAATGGCATTTATTACTTTAAAATTAAATATCAGCAGACACCACCATTCTATATGTGCAAAGCTTGAAAACTCTATATCCCATCTTGGATTTTTATTATAATATTTCAAAAATTTTTTTTAAACAATATACACTTTTACACAAACTTTGAGAGAATTTATGAGCACTTTAAAAATGTGTGAAACTTTAGTTGTTCAACTTTTAAACATTAAACACATTTAGATTAGATTAAAAAGATACTTTTACATTTTTTTTAGATTAGTTTTATTATATTTTTTTTAAGTTTGATTTTTATCATCACTTTTATTAACTTAAAATATTTAACTCGTATAAAAGAAATAAAAGAAAAAATGTCATCATATCTTAAAAAAAAGTTTAACCATTATTATTTATTAATAGATAAAACAATTGTAAAATAATTATTGGTAATAATTTATTTGATAATTATATTTTTTCATATTAATTAAAGGAAAAGTTCAAATTATAACTAATCTTTTTCGATAATTTTTTTTTAATATTCAATTTGAATTTTAAACTAAAGCTAATTAGATTAAAATACTAATTTTAATGGTGTAGATATGGTTCAGATAATAATAAATTATCCATGATTATATTAATTTATCCCATATAAAATAAACATTTTAAGAATTATTTAAAAAAAATCTATTTTGTATCTACTACATTAGTTCTACATCTACAAGAATATTTGAAAAGGTAGCGTATTTTGGAAATATTTTTAAATAGGATATTGAACTTAAAAAATTTTAGTAAAATTCGTCAAAATCGCGGAAATTTGCAAACAATTTCGTTGTTAGAAATTCATTATATACTTTTATTTTTATATCTTAGATTTGAAAATTATAATATGAGATTCTTCGTGAATAACTAGTAGTGGAACTGTAAATATAAAATATTTGTAAACATTGTTATTTTCAAAGACATTTTGAAGTTCAAATTTGGACGAAATCACATGTAAATAACGATGTTAATTATTTTGTTTATAATTCAAAAACATTAATCATGGAGACTTAAAACTTGCACGTAAATTATATATTTTTCTATACTTAATGAAGTTTTCAAAAAATTGATTTTAAGGTTTTACTTATTTATAACATAAACCTATTCACACTACTTATTTTATGGCTAGATGGTATTGACTTAAAAGTTATTAACTATACAAGTATAATATAATATGATATAAATATATATATATTATTAAATTTATTAAATATTAATAATATAATAAATGCAATATTTTTTGAAAAAATTTAATTAACCTACTGTTATACTAATAATAAAATAAGTTACTTTAATAGAAATATCAAAATAAATTTAAGACATACCCATTACAGAATTCTAGTATTCCACTCAAACTTTCTATACAGTAGAGCGGTACCCACTTGTTCTATTTTTTTTTTTATTTTAATAATTAAGTCACATTTCATAAACGGTAATATAACTGATTTTCCAATAAAGTAATTACCTAAGATTAAAAAAATATAAAAACATATTTAAATAAAATTATATCTAAGATTTTCTCAGTTTAATCACCCTAAACTAAGTTTAATATAAACATCATTCAATGAATCTTTAAAAAGTTAATGTAAGCTTTATTAATTTAACTTTCAAGCAATAAAAGTTAATATTTTCATAGCATAATTTTTTTTTTTTTTTATTGTTTAAATAATATGCTAATAAAAATAATTAATTGTATGTTTCAGGTTATTGGTTATTCAGGAGTGAAAAAACTTCCGAATGGTCCAGTGGCTTGTCATTGATATTTAGAGTGATAAATCCTACTGGAAATATTCCTCAAGTACCCGAAGATTTTCCTAAATGTGGAAATTTTATAGGACCAGAATTTTTTTTGGCTTGAATTCGTTGAAGTATTTCAATCATTGTTACCGTATTAATTTTGATCTCCAACATTATTCTTAAGTTCTATTTGGAAATATGTACACGGGTTGTAATAGTTTTAAATAAGAATGTTATTTGTAAATTAATTTTTTTTTTTTTTAAATAAGTTATTTATTATAAATTAGTTTTTATTGTGTGTAATTATTACAACAGGTGTATAAAAAATTTATAATCTCTAATGTATTACTAGTTACCATGTATAATTTATTTTATACAATAACGGATTTGCTTATGTGTAGACAGAGTTTGATATCCATACACTAAAAAGTTTTTTTTATTTATTTGATTTTAAGCTCAAGTAAATAGTGGTTATCAGTTTTATTTTTAATTATTATAAAAATTCTTTTTTATGTTTATTATTTTGATTTTTGTTTCAATAGTTTATTTTAATGTTTAAAGATTAATATTTTATATTATAGATTATATGCGGTTAGTAAAGTGTTATTTTGTTTGTTGCTTGTATTTATGGTCTCGGGATTTTATGGAATTTGTTTGGTATATTTTGTTTTATTTTTCTGAACTTATTTTCTTTTTTCCCGCTAATATTAACCACATTCAGTTAATAAATCTAATTTGTTTTGTTATAATTGTTTTTAGCTAGTTCAATATGTAGATTTATGCAAAAAATTCTTAGTTGGCTATTTAATAGCACAAAACCATTCTATTAATAATATAAATGTATAATACGAGAGATAAAATCATTATACAAAATCCTATCTGAGCTTTTTATCATACTTTAATTTTAATGCTTTTGATGAGAACATTAAAGTTGTAAATTTTTTATAAATTTTAAAATATTCATAACTTGCTTAAAGATTATATAATATACCAAAAAAATCCTTAGTGGGGATGATATTAATACAATATTACTTTTAAATTTGATAATAGGTTAATATTTAATGTTCTATAATAATAAAAATAAATTAATTTTTTGAATATTAAATTTTCTATTATCGAGTATGACAACCTTTAAATTTCAATTAATGTGACTACTGTGAATCTTCTTTACAAGTGTTGAAGTATTATCACAGAATTTATATTACTTATTCTAAACTAATTTACTTATTAATACATTTTAATTTTAAATATTCAATGACCTTTTTTTTCTTCTAAAATTTTAGTATTTATTAATACAAACAAAGGAATATAGATATATTTTAATATAATTAGATGAACTTACATATTCGAGTCATAAGAAGTTAATTAATTAAATGATATATTTTAATTAAAATAAGAAAATTATCTAAAAAATTAATATATGTTTTAAAAAATGTTAAAATCATTTCAAATATAATATACTTATTGAAATTGAAAAATATTACCATAATAGAGATCATTTAGAAACTTAACAACATTAATACAGTTACTAATTAGTGATTACTTTGTGTTTATACTTGATATATTTTCTGAATAATAATTTTTACGGTTTTTAAATTTTTGATTTAAGTATATTATTAGTATAAAATGTTAAGTTATAAAACACTAGACTAAAAATTTTATTATAAATAATTTAAAATATAAGCCATAAGAACAAATCATTAACTAATTTTTGACTTTATTTAGCAATCATGTTAATTATAGTTCAGTTGATTAAAACAAAAATGTTGTAATTAAAGTTAAAAGTAAAAAAAAGTTAATACATCATTAACTTATATTATCAATACCTTAGTATTTAATATATTGGTATATAATAATTATAACCAAAATTAATTATTAAGTTACTGTAAAATAAAATAAAATAAAAAATAAAATACGATAACTTAAAAGATAAAAGTATACTTAATATTTATTGTGCCACAAAAACTTATACACCGCTGAGTTATTAATGAACTTGATGTTTGCTTGTGATATAAAATATTCATCTTATTATGTATATTAAAATGATTCATTATAAGGTGCTTAAATTTTTTTACAAATCGTACTCGTTAATTTTTCATCGACGATAAAATGTCAGTACCTATAAGTACGTCGTTAGTGTATAAAATAATTAACTGAAAACGTTTATCTATATTACTATGTTTCACTCATTGAATTGTTCATAATTTGAAAGGCTAGAAGTATTTAAAAAAGCCGAATATTTTAAGGGGTTTTAATGTTCAATTTTAACGTAATTTTCGCACTTTTAAATATCACAATGGACAACCGAGCACTATTAATTGTTCAGTGTTATACGTCAATAAAAACTTTATAGTTAACATAACATGTTATTAATTACCTATGAGTTGGTACCCTCCATAATAGGCATAATAGGTTCTATTTTGTAAAGTTAAAAAATATTATTTGAGCAATATTTTTTTTTTAGTAAATCTCAAATTTTATTTATATTTAAATTAAACTTTTTAGTTAAGATACTTTTGTAATTAAAGCTAAAGAACCTTGTACACGGAGACTAAATTTTTTTTAATAAGATGAATGCAGCTTCTATATTTTATACACTGTGGTTTGTAAAAGTATAAGACACCCATTTGATCATTGATCGTAAAAGAAATATTAAAATATTTATTAGCTTGGATTTTTTAAATATTTCAAAAAAGGTCCATGAATTAATAATTTTAGGGCATTCTCCAAGTGATTTATTATAAATAGAGACTACAAGTAGTTTTAGGGCGTCTTAACATCCACCAATGTATATTTAAAATAGTAAACAAGTAATTATAGTAGCAACATATAATGTCGAAATTGCTTATATTAATTATATTATTTTAATAATTAAAACCTCATCAGTCATCATAGTGTAATACAGTACGATTCAAAACAAATTAATGATTTTTACGAAATTAATTTTGTATTTTATAAGATTTAAATGAATATTTAATACATATAATAATAAATTAACTAAAAATTTTTAACATCTATGATAATCTTAGATTTATATTTAATTTTTATTTCAATATGTGTCAAGTTTGAAGTCGTAATAATTGCTTAGGTGGCTACTAGTTGCGTCCCTCAGTAAAAATTTCTCCCCAATTGCGGCCCGAGTTTTTTTTGGATGACATATGAATTGCGGCCTGAAATTTAAAATTAAATTAATTGAAATAGGTATGTAAGTTAAAATTAAAAATGCTTCATTTTCCTTCACATTTTTGTACAGGCTTAGGATTGTCTGTAGAATCAGTAGATACTGCAGGTAGGTTAAAATTGATGTTTAGTTTTTTTTTTAAATTTTGACACTGGAAAATCTATCGATTACAAATAAAGTGTGATTTTTTCACTCAAAATTTTATTCTACATAATAAATAAATTAAAACAGAAAAGTGACGGAACGTTCTTAGCGTTAGTAAAGCGACGACTAAGGAGTACCTACTTATTGGTATCTACATTATACGATTATATTTTATCAGTCAAGATTAAATTACCTAGAATTAAAAAACCCGGGCCGCAATTCGTCTGTATCCAAAATAAACTCGGGCCGCAATTCGGATATTTTCAGGACGCAACTAGTATGCAGCCAATTGCTCAGTGACCTCGAACAACCAACATTTTTTTAAGCTATTAGATTAAAATATTGTTGTTGTTATGGAATATGTTAAATAATAGTCTAGAATATTTAATACATTCCGGCCTACGACAATCTGACACGTCTGAGTGCTATATTTGTGGTTACTAGTTATTAGATATATTAGGTATTCGGAGAATGACATGCTTTTGTACTTCAGTATGGTATCTTATTAAAACGTGGGGTTAAGATACGAGCTAAAAATAACTTTTGGTACCTAAACTCGTCATACGCTGCCGCCAATGACAAACCTAAACTTGTTTTAACTAATTTTTTTATAGACGTGAGCCGATTATGATCATTACCATTATTATATGTCGATAAAGATAGACGAGTTGTTGACAATAAAGAGCTAAATTGTGAGCAAGAACGGTAGAAATTTACGATAGGAGCAACCAAACCGGAATCGTTCATTCGGCCTAAATGATAATATACCTATCCGAGATGTTGAACTCTAGCCAAGTGCACTTTGTACCTTGTGGATAGAATTATAAAGACAGCCTAGGTCAAGGACATCGTTTCTTACAATATTTAATTGCCGTCTCGAGTGCACTTAATGTTATATCAGGCGGCAGGCGTCTAGATGTGCTTATAGTTACTGGAATATCACACTGTTATAATATATCTGAAGCGATCATCAGTTCACTCATGATAAGCTACAACATACGGAGACTTCAACAGCTAGCAAACGACTAACATGTCGATTTAGTTGTGAGTTCATAATTTATAGCCTATAGTCTATAGGCTATAACGAATAGGTTCTACATAATTGTGAATAGGTAAGCTTTACGAAGTCACGGCGTCACGAGATATAATAAGTATACAGATTATCGTTGTCAATGATTAAAGTATGTCCGAAAAAAAATATACCTAATAAATGCGTATCATTGTGTTCATTATGTACTTGCATTAATAAACTGAAAATACCATGCTATAAAAATAAATAATATTATCTGCCTATGTAACATTGTATCATGTATGTCCGAAAAATCTAAAATCAATTCTGTTTCATCAGATCATAAAATCTAATTGTATATAATATGAACCATGACGTTTGAAATATAAAATGTCATTTGTTTTTTAAACAGAGGTGATTAATACGTACTAGTACTATACGAAATTATTTTTAATTTAATTTGTATTTATATTTTATAAATTATAATAATTATAAAAAATTATGACTTATAAGTTATGAATGAGATTAGGATATCATAATGTTTACGATTTTGTATGTTTATTTGTTTATGTATGCTATTTTAAGTACATTTAACTAATAATTATGTTTAATAATCAAATCATCATAATTCGTAATAATAATTATTGAATATACTTTACAGTTTGCATAAATTGATATTAATTTTTTAAACTCTTACTTTAAAATACCTATAAAAATTAAATACATTTTGTAATCAGTTTTCAATGCATATTTAACTATTTTTATTGGATAAGCGCATAGTGTATTGCGAACATGTTCAATGGAGTCTATTATTTACTCGAAGAATTCATAGTTTAAAAAAAATAATTTAATTTTAGTAATTTTAGTGCATAAACATCCTAATCCTAATACCTAATACATTTTTTTTTTTTTTTGATTTGGTATCTTAATATTATATAGTCGGTAAAATGTGTCAGAAAATTATATTTTTAGTACCAAACTGTTCTATACACTGGTTCATTAGTTATCACTAACATCAGGATTTTCAATTTATTAAGTTTATAATTTAGTGCTTACTGTTTTCACATATTTAGAATTTTAACTAATAAAATTAACTTTTATAACTTAAGTTTAATTTTTAGTATTATTAAATGTCTGTAGATACCTTCCTGAAAGTTTCATTGTCCAATCTTTCTATAGCTCACTTTCTTTGTTCATACAAGTTTATTATACTATACATCATAAATATAATGCATCACTGCATCGTACACTATCAGATTTAAATAATTAACAATGTGTTCCACTTATATCTTCTCCTCAAGTTGACCTAATTCGATTAATTAGAGCTTATTTGATATAGTAAAAGTTCTAAGTATAATATACTTCCATATTACCTTCGATTTGTTCAATATCAAAGTCTTGGATACAAATTAGCTAAAAATACACTAGTGTGATTTTAAACAATTTAAAGAATGTATTGTTATGTAGAACATACGAATAATTGTATTTAATTACGTTCATATTATTATGGTAATATAATATTTAGATATTATAACTATTTTATTTATCCGATGAATGTCGGTTTGCCTTGGGTGGATAAATTTATTGAGATGACATTCAAGTTTGACCTAAATTGGTTAAATACATCTCGCTGTTTTGTATGGTGATTTATTAGCCTATTAAGCTGGATATTTTTAAATTTTTTATACCTTAAATGTTTTTTATAAATATTTTTAGCTGCGCTTTTAACATTGTCTAAAATCGAGGAGTTAAAAAAATATGAACTAGTTGAAACTAATTGTGGGCATTTGACTGACATTTTATGAGTATCATATGTTTAGACCACACAAATAACTGAACATTTGGTTGTTTTATTTTCCATATTATCCAATTGTGAGAACAAGCACTCGGTATAAATAAACATTAATTTGATTTTTTTTTTTAATTATACGATGGATATCGATTAATATTTCACTGCTATATGAATAATAACAAAATTAATAAATATTTCAACGATATAATATAAATATTATAGTATATAAAAATTTTGTAAATGTGATGATTTGTTCATAATATCTGAGAATGGAGACAATAAAATATGATAAAATTATCATAAAAGGCATTACTATAGTCTATAGTTGCTTGATAAGACCTATTCCAATAAAAATATTAAATTATATTAGAAAAAGATTTTTTGAATTAAAGCTTATGTATATAATGTCTATTTTTAATAAAATTAAAAAACAAAACAAATAATAAAAAATGTAAACGCATATATTTATATCACCTTTGGTACTTCATCAAATATCTGTTTTTGCGTGTAATAAAATAAAAACGATATTTAACATGGCCTTCTTTAAAATAAAGTTTTAATTATTTAATTAAATAAATCATATATTTTAATAGTTAATACACTGTTTATAATGGATCACATAAACTAGTCATCAAATTCTTCGAAATGAGATAACGATTGATTGTTTTTTGTTGTTTTTCCAAGCAATTTTTTTAATAACTCGTTTGGTTTATGCTAGAAATAAATTAAATAATTTTATTATCTAATATCAAATAAAAAATTTAAAAACAATACAAACCTTTTTTTAACGTTATGTCTGAGAAATTAAAATTATGAAAAAATGATTGGACTTTAATTTGACGAAATGATTTTAGTCGGTTTTGTTGATTTGTTTCCATCAGTTTTAATACCAAATCAGTAGCACCTTTACTAACATTTTCCAACATGTTATTGATTTCATCGTGTGACTTTGGCGGATACTGAAAACAAAACATTAATTAATGAACATCCGTTATTTGAGCCATAATGAAATAATGAATTGCATGACTATCCACAATAGTAATATAATACGGCCTTGTTAAATAGAATAAAAAAAAAAGTAAAGAGGAAAACATTAAAACAGCCAAAATTACATTACACTTATACAAGTACTTTTATACAGGGTTTTAGTGTAATTATTATGTGCAAACTAAAATATATAATATATAAATGTGAAATTCCGTTAATTAAATTAAATTATTTTTTTACAAGATAGTAATCTTATACTTAATAATAATAATAAATAAAAGAACTGTTGAATTTTAAGAAACAAATATTATAAATTCTAGAAAATCAATAAAATGTAATGAATTTTATAGTTTAATATTAAGCATTTATTTAGGTACATTAAGCCGAATATTTATGGTTATCAATTTATTATTCAAATGAAATATTTCATATTTCAAGGTATACCTAATGTACTGAGGAACTTTGGCGGCTATCCGGCAGTAAATAATATAACTTTTTCAAATTAGTATAATAATCAGAATAGCGGTTAAGTAAATAATTTAAAATAGTAAGTAGGTATATATTTTTCTCAAAATGAATGTGTTATCTAAAATTTACATTGCCATCCTATCTTATAAAAATAAAATTCTTATTATCATACAAATGTCGAAAACTTTATTTTATATTTTTACATAATATATACAGTTCTGAACAAAGTTTATTTTATATTAAAAAAAACCACATACATAATAACTGTATTAAGAAGTATATTGATTTTTATTTTCTCTTGCTTCACATATTATATGAAATATAATATTATATTAGCTTATAAACAAAAAATTAAAAGTTTTTAATAATGTTGTGGTTATCTCATAGCCACAAAATACAATTGTCGGTAACGTTTTATGCTGCATGCATAATTGTTAATATAAAAAATGTGCTTAAAAGTTTTTACACATAATAAGTTACAAAAAAGTATGTAGAGCTTTAGGTTATTAATAAATTTCATATATTATAATGTATAAATGTTAATTATTAAGTAATAAATGTATTATTAGAGTACCTATAAGTATCAGAGAAACCCATTTATATTAAATTTGTAATAAATTATTCATGAAATTAATTTTAAAACAATAAGCTTTGGATAAAAACATCATTTTGGTTCAAAAGTCAAAATATAAAGATAATCAATATTTATTATCATAGAATACATAAAATAGGTGTGATAATGTTTTTTTTTTAACAAAAATATAATATTATTATCCGGTATTTATAAGAGATGCATCTTAGTAAAAGATCATAGTGGTTCATATACAAAAAACCTAGAATTTGCGTGCAAAAATTTGCGATGATAATATGGACTAAGTAAGCATCGTAAAATAGATTTGAAAACGAGTCGTACATTCCGTTTTTATTGCGTCTAGAAGACAGAAACAAAGAAATGACGCAATCGACACAAGGGAAATATAAAGATGATCTGAAACGAGAGACGAAGCTGAATGATTGTTTTTTGACTTTGAGTAAATGATAGGTTATCAGTCATAATTGCGTTATTTTTATATTCCATGTGAAAAAAGATGCGTGCCTATATATACTCCTATCATAGTTTCAAGGTTGAATTCGAATTTCGAGCAAGCGTGTATACAGACTGTATGCTCGCACGCACACTCGATGGTGATGATGGTACAAACAGCGATTGCGATCTCCCATATTATAACCTTCGAAAATTATATAATAATACAGCGATTTTACGTAGGAAAAGAACAAAATAAATTAGGAAAAACGGTTTTATGGCGCGTAATCACATTGATTAAAAATCAAGTATAAATTGCATACATTATTATTAACTAAACGTATTCGACTGCGTCTACCTAAATACACGCCATTAAATCCATTTACTCTTCGTTAACCGTAAAACGATATAAATATTTAATTTTTACAACGTAATATCGAAGCGAATTGCATTTATAAGATGTAGAACTGTTGTGGTAGAATATAATATATCGTATTACATAGATCTAGGATAAAATATATAACTAGATGTAAGGTATCTATTGCATATTACATCACACGTGCATAATGCACTGGTGTGTAATTATTAATATTATAACTATTATCGTAACGTGATGAAGCAATAATTTGTAATAATTTATGTCACAACTCGATTATGATTTTGAAAATCTGTCAATATTTTATATGAGTATTTACGCACATATTATTATACATATTTTTGACCAATTTACATAATTGGACATTATTTTGAGGTACATTTTAACGATATTTACTAATTTGTTGTGATTAATTTAAATTATATAATAATAATTTTACCGAAACGTAATGCGATGATCAATGCTAAAAATGTTAGTATGTGTTGCCGGAGATATTTATAGGAGCCCATCCTTTAAAACAATTGAAAACTATGGTGCAAGACGATGTGTATACTAAATATTTGATGTTAAACTAACCACCAAAATCTCAATGGAATTACCCAAAACAGTACAACACTACCTGTATTCACCAGATGTATGCATTGCACAGAGGTTTTATACTTAAGCATAAACCATATTAAATTTGCCACTAGTTATTATAATAATCATACGTTTGTCTTAAAATATCTATAAATAATATATAGGTAAATAATGAAAATGATACATTTCGAGTATAATACACAAATTATATATTATTTTTGATTTAAAATTTAAACAGCACATAAAATAAAAGTATATATATAATATATGAAATATTATTATATAGTTCACGTATCCATACTTATTTTAATACAGATCATATAATGAGAAAATGGGATAAATACCCAACAGTATCCACTTCAGTCTGCTGAGGACAAATCGGTGTATTTAGTCACAAAAATTTCGGGGTCGGGTACAAAATAGTAATTTATTTAAAAATACGTAGGTACCACCAATGGTGGCGTAAGGGTAATAAAAAGTGGCTCAAATTACCATCATATAATATATATATACTACGACAAAAGGGTCGAATGCGGTGCACAAATTACGGCTCATACGTCTTTTCGTTTACCTACATAGTATATACACAAGTCGTGAAAATTGCACATGAAATTAGTATACATAGGTCAAAGGCAATGATCGGGAGTAGTACTTTATTTGTACACACATGAAGTAAAATACTAAAACGCGCTAGAAATAAAATTTACAGTTAGCGGCTTAACTTAGCGAAAATTATACCCTTATGATTTATTACAAATGACAAATATTAACACGTTGATAGACAATTTATTTCGATATTTTTCTACAAAATTGTCAAAAAAATGTCACTTTTTCATTGCTGCTATGACATTAATTTTTTTAATACTGTTATGTATGGTTTTAATGTCCCAATAAATCAAAGGTATAAAATACGTATGTCAAAAATTTCATATTACTGCTTTAGCAGTAATGTCATAAAAATGAATTTAAAATGAATAATACGGTTTATATTTTTAATTAAAGTACTTATTATGAAGTTTTAAATAAACTAAAAAATAAAAACACGTTATTTAAATGTAAGTATGTAAATTAGATATTATTAAAAAATAAATTATCTACTTATTTTTTGTCTTTGAAAAATCTTCAAAGCTTTTTCCTAAACATAGAGGAACTGTACAACTTTTGCACTTAAACGATGTTTATTTTTTTAAATTTCTTTTAAAACACGCAAAACAGTTTTTGAAATATTTTTTTCTTTTGTAGTTAGTTGGGAGTGGAATATTTTCTTAAAATTGTAAGTTAGTTATTTCATTTGTAATGGATGTTCTTGGTTTTTGTTGTTCACTAGCTGCATTTAATGGAATTTGAAATTAGATATAAATAAGTATATTATTTATAAAAAATATTTTGAGTACCAACTTGTGATGACCAAAAATGAAGCAAAACTTTTTTGTATCATTCCGCAGATTTTCTAAGATAGGTATAGCAGCTAATATTTTTGTCAGAAAGATCAACACCACTCATAAATCCATTTATATTTGACGATTTCTGGGGATTTTAGTTTTTGTTGACTGTATTTATTTTTAGGTATAATAATTAAATTGGAATTGATATCTGAATCGTCATAATTATATATTAATTCATCGGATAAATATTGTACAATTAATTTTTTATGTCACGACATTTTGAACGTATTTTGCAATATAATAGGAAAAACAAATCTTTCGAAGAAGTCGCATAACACACTCTAATTGTCTGTATCGTATATAATATGTTTGAATGTTTTCTCGTTATTATCTGCCATACTGTTGCTTATAGGATGTTTACCTTATTCTCCAATATGTAAAAAAATTTAGCATTATTAAAAATAGAATATTATAAACCATCTAGTTTTATTATTTATTTATTTTTTATTTGACTAAAATTGACAATGCTTAATGTCTCCCTGTGATTAACTAGATCAAAACAATCTTCTTTTTCATATGAGACCATATAGAAAATATAACTTCTATAGTAGTAAATAGAAATATTGGCCTACTGTTCATCAACATGTTAAATTAAAGATACTTTTTTTTATTTATTACCTATTCATAGGACAGCCATTAATTAAAAAAAAAAAATAAAAATAAATGTTGAACAATTCACAAATTTTCACATTCAGTTCAGTCACTTAAAGATGTGTATATATATTTTTTAGTTTTTTATAGAAAATACAATAAGACATGCATGATGAAATACACGAATCAAGCTTGCCCTTTGAAAACTCGAGAAAATAGTGATACTCAATAGACAATAAGTGAACTAGCCAAGAAAGTTTTAAAAAGAGTAAAGTGAAAAAAGTAGTGCGTTATACTGAAAAAAAATTATTAGTAGCGAAACCTAATTAATTTTTAAATTTTTTTTGGAGGAGGGTAAGTATAGCTGTAGCGTTTAAGTGCTACAAAGAAAAAAAGAGTACAACATTCGACCATTAGATTCATAAACACACATGTTATAACATATTATATACTAATATATTGCTGAGAATGCATGTACATTGTACTTGT